CCATCCCTGGAGGGGTTCAAGGCCAGGCTGGAGGGGGCTTGGAGCAACCTGGTGTGGTGGGAGGTGTCCCTGCCCAGGGCACGAGGGTTGGACTACATGGCCTTTAAAGGTCCCTTTCCACCCAAACCATTCCATGGTTCTATGATTACCACCCAGTCCTGAGCCAGGCCGCACAACTGCTCTGTCCCCCTTCCATGGTGAACACTTCTTCAGGTTTCTTCCACTTCAGTGAACTGCTAATGTGTATTTTATGCCTTAGCTGTGACTTCTGGTTTATAAGGCCAGGAAGAGCTGTCATCACCCCAGAATATGTATGTGTGGATCAAGGGCACTATAGAACCAATGATCAGATACTTCTAGGATCATTCTGTGTAAAAGTGATATATTGGACTTTTTACAGTAGTCGGTTTGTGTTTGTCCCTGGCCCTGAAGACCCTGGTCCTGGTTCTATTTTACCAAGGTCAGTTTTCTTCACTTTTTTTAAATTTTGCAATACGGAGTTAAATATTTAAAGGAGCTAAAAGTCTTTCTTCATACATCTGTTACTATTTATCGTAGACCTCCTCTGGCTGAAAATATTACTGAGGAATTCAGACAGCTGGTGCCATTTTCAGTTTTCACCACAAATCCTTGCAGGTAACAGTAAACTTGTTGCTATTTTTCACGGTTTTGGGGGGAGGTTTTGGTTTTTTGTTTTTACTGAATGACTAATTTATGTGTAGATGTAATTTTCCAAATTTACAAATTTTGGAAAAATTGTTCTAGAATTCGTCACATTAATTGTAACTAGTTTTAAATACATTAAGACTTAAATAAATTAGTGGTGAAAGGAAGTAGTGCTCAAAGTTGGATAGTGGGTATAAATATCCTGCTTGAAAGCATCAAGCTTTCTGTTTCATGTTTTTTCTGAATCTGGAGGGAATGAAGGGAAAATAGGAAAGGATTATTTTAACTCAAATGTGCTTTTTCATTTTGCTGTGCTAAAAGGCGATCAACTTTATAATGCAGCTCCCTGTCTTTTAGCTTCATCTCAATTTATTTCATTAATGTTTTCCATTTAGGGTTCAATACTGCACCCAAGAAATAATTATCTTTCGTGAAGATTTGGTGAACAAAATGTGCAGAAACTGTGTCCGCTTCCCCAGCAGCAACATGGACATTCCCAACCACGTGAGTGAGTTGATTTCGGCCCTTCTTGCTGAGCTCTGGCTTCTTTTTTATTGGCAGGTCTGATTTGTAGGGTGCTCTGACCTGCATTCCCACGACACCTTGCAGGAGTAATGCAAGAGGGATTGTAGGAAGGATCTATAGATTTAGTATTGTTACTTTAATTTCCATCTTGGTTGGAAATAACTGAAACGATGGGGGCTGACCTGCTGGAGAGCAACTCTGAGGAAAAAGACCTGGGAGTCCTGGTGGACAACAGGATGCCCATGAGCCAGCAATGTGCCCTTGTCGCCATGCAGGCCAATGGCCTCCTTGGGGACATCAGGAAGAGTGTGACCAGGAGGTGGAGGGAGGTCATCCTCCCCCTCTGCTCTACTTGGTGAGGCTACATCTGGAGCACTGGATGCAATTCTGGGCTCCCCATTTCCAGAAGGACAGGGAACTGGAGAGGGTACAGCAGAGGGCTACAAAGATGATGAGGGGCCTGGAGCATCTCTCTTACGAGGAAAGGCTGAGGGACTTGGGTCTTTTTAGTCTGGAGAAGAGAAGGCTGAGGGGGGATCTGATCAACACCTATAAATACTTGAAGGGAGGGTGTCAGAATGATGGGCCTAGTCTTTTTTCAGTGGTGCCCAGGGACAGGACAAGAGGAAACAAACACAAACTTGAACATAAGTTCCACCTGAACATGAGAAGGAATTTCTTTGCTGTGAGGGTGGCAGAGCCCTGGCAGAGGCTGCCCAGGGAGGTGGTGGAGTGTCCATCTCTGGAGACATTCAAACCCCAGCTGGACACATTCCTGTGGGACCTGCTCTGGGTGGACCTGCTCCGGCAGGAGGTTGGATTAGATGATCTCCAGAGGTCCCTTCCAACCCCATGTGATTCTGTGAATCTGTACGTACACCAGCAATGGGTGTTGTACTAAGAAACATCCACTCCTAAAGGCAAAGTTTAATACAAATTGCCTTTTTTTTTTAAAAAAGATTTGATCAATTGACTGTGACATTTGCAGGAAGGCAGCATGGCATTTCTCCAAAAAATCCTCTGCATTTTCTGCCTTCTCAGTTGAAGTCTTAATCCTGTTTGTGATACATGGCCACAGCACCCAGTTCCGATTCCAGTTAATGAGTGCTCAGCAGGAGTTGATGAGACTTGCTGATTTAATTGAATGAGACAGGCAGCACTGGCTCATCGCAGTGATGGATGGAGTCTGTTTCTATTTATTTTCCAGGATTTTTTTGTTTGTTTGTTTGTTTGACTCTTTCGCTCCACCCTGACAACATTCAGTTTCTTCATGAGCACAGAGAACACACTACAAACACTGATGGACCTTGGTTTTGGGTGGCACGTTTGCACACATCTATGTGTACACCGCAAGTCATCTCTTCCCAGGGCTTTCTCATGCTTGGAAAGGAAGGAATCACTAAGAAAACATAGGATTATGTATTGCAACGCTTTTGGAGGATGAGAGTATTGGGTTGCTTTTGCACACTTCAGTTTTTCTCTGCCTTTTCTGCCTGTCACTAGTTTTTTTAATCCAGCCATCTGTAAAAAGATGAGGGAAATTTTTATTTCTAAGGTGAGATTGAATTAATAGTGACTTTAGGCCTCATGGAGTATTAGTGGAATAACCGGGCCTATGCTTGGTACATCATTTTCTTTCGAGAGCAGACCCTTCCACCATGTCACTGTAGTGATTTTAGCCCTTTGGGGAAAACAGAGCCCTAACAGCAGCTACGTGATCAATTGGAGCTAATAAAAGCTTTCAAAGGGCTTGAGGAGAGAGCTTCAGGAATCAAAATATCCTGGCTGGAATTTGCCAGATGAAAAAAGAGAATTTCAGAGGGCAGCTGGTGCCTGGAGCAGGGTGACTCCCAGAACAGCTAAAGGAATCCAAATAATTTGGGAATTTAATTATTTCCTCAGTTCAGGATAAAAGACCTGTGTTTAAGTGTGGATCTAGTGGTTAAGTGGAATTGTGAGGCAAAAAAACAACCCAAAAATGAAAGTTATGGCAGTGTTGGTACTTCCTGGGCTGGAGGAACAGGTAAGTTCTCTCTCTGTTGGAGAGTCTGGTTGATGAAATAGTTTTGACATCTTCAACTATTGGCTGATATGCTTTACGAAGAACTTTGTGTGTTAAAAAAACCCACAACACAACAAACTAAACAGCAGCTGACTGTTGTAGGGGAGTTGCTGCTTCACTCTAGAAATGGTTCATAATCAGAGGGAGTGAGATACACCAAACAACATTTCCAAGTTCAAAGCTTCTTTATTAATGACATTAGGAACAAGTTTGACTTGTCCGAAAACGGCTCAAACTGACCATTTGTGTTTATCTTGCAGTTTGTGAAGACTATACTGTCCCAGGGGCACCTGACGCCGCTCCCGCTGTACGTCAGCCCTGTGTACTGGGCCTACGACTACACCCTGAGGGTCTACCCCGTGCCTGACGTCCTCGTCATCGCGGACAAACACGACCCCTTCACCGTCACCAACACTGACTGCCTCTGCATAAACCCTGTAAGATTTTTCCTTATGTTTTGCCAAAATTAGAAGGGGGTGCAGTCCCATTCACGCCCGTCTCCCAACGATCTGTAGGGTATTTTACTTTACACAGTGTGGTATTCTCATTTTTTCTTCACAGGGTTCATTTCCAAGAAGCGGGTTTTCATTCAAGGTGTTCTACCCCTCCAACAAGACAGTTGAGGACAGGTAAATAAATTCAGTTTATCTTTTAAAAGGAAGTACCTTTTTACCTGGTGACTTTCCAGTTATTAGGAGGAACACAGAAAATCAATTATAACAACAGGGTGAACAAATGTCAATGTTCTAGCAGTTACCATTGTCTTACAGTTCACGCTTCAGCAGTGTAGGAAACCCACATGCCTGGGACTAAACTAATAAATTTAGAAATTAGTCAAACAACAAGGACGAGAAGCATGATCCAAAAGTAAAAGGCAAGGTAGACCGCACTGTGTGATTTTCAATAACTGAGACCCAGTTGGGAAACAGATTCGTTTCTGCAGATGATGCTTGTTACGTAGATTAATTACACTTAAGAACAATTCATTTTGTCAGCATCATCAAGCCCAGAAACTGCTTTCATGCTTTGATTTTACGTATTTTAAATCTCTACTTACTCATTCCAACTGTGGTCTTGCAATGACTGGAAAAAAGGCCAGCTGCGACAGCAGAAAGTACTAAAAAATATCAAAGGGCTTACAACGGTGATGAAAATTTCCCTGTTTGAAATAATGATGGTATAAGCCAGTGGGAAAAGGGCAAACTTACCTTGTCTGATTCGGTTTCCTGCCGTGTTACAGAAACACAGTATTGTCAACTGTCTTTAAAAAAACCCCAAACGCTAAATATTGTTTTTGTTTATTTTCAGCAAGCTTCAGGGTCTCTGAATTTCTGCGTGACTGCACAAAGGGAGCGAGGCGTTGTAAAGCCGACTGCAGCACTCGTTTTAGACAGATTGACGTTATGATGTATTACAGACTGTTTATAATAAATGTCAAAGCCAAAACTGGTGCGTTTTGTACACAAATATGAACTTTGACAGGAAAAGACGCTGGTGCTAGTTTAGATAAAGTGGACTCAGCGTGAAGATTAACTGTCAAAGCATAATGAAAGACGGGAACTGGAGGAACCAGATGTGCATATATCAAACAGGAAATATTTATCTTTTACAAAAAGAAGTTAAAGGTAGGGGGAACCTTGCCTTACACCAGTCTGAGTTGAAGCGATAACTCATTATCTACAGGACATACTGGAAATGCAGCAGTTATTTTGTTTCACAGACCCCTTCCTGCTGCGCTGGCATCGACATGGCCATGGCTTGTGGGGAGGAGGACAGCAGAGCCATGGGGGTGTGTGTGGAAGCCGGGTATGAGGTGGGACCTGAGGGTCTAAACCCAAAAGGTAGGAGAGACTATGCCAGAACACCCTCTGCCTGGAGGGGATGGTGGTGTCAGGTCAGAGATGTGGGACAAGGGGAGAGCACGAAGCCACTGAGGTGAAATGAGGTGACGGGGAGGGGTTTAGAACTGGCGAGGAATTGACTGTGAAGAAGACCACTGAGGGAGGCTCCGCCATTTTGTTTGGCGTCTCCATAGCAACTGGCCGGAGGGGGTCCGGCGCCGCCATCTTGTTTACGATCACCATAGCAACCAGCACGCCCGGGCCGGAGCCGCCATCTTGTTTGGCGTTTCCACAGCAACGAGAGCGGGCCGGCCGGGCCGGCCTGGAGCCATGGCGGGCGCGGGGCGGCTGGAGGAGCTGGAGCTCAGCGCCGAAGAGGCGGAGCGGCTCCAACAGGCCTTCCGCGACGAGCAATTCCGGGCGCTCTTCGCCGAATACGCGGCGGAGCTGGCCGACCCGGAGCAGCGCAAGTTGTACGAGGAGGAGGTGGCGGCCCTGGAGCGGGAACGCGGCATGGAGGTGCGCTTCGTCCACCCCGAGGCGGGCTACGTCCTGCGCACCAGCCAGGCCGCCCCCCGCCGCTGCTACCTCAACGTCTGCAGCAACCCTCAGATCGGGGTCCCGCAAGCCCGCCCGGAGCCCGGCGGCCACCGCTGGGCCTTGCCTTACAGCCTGGCGCCGGGCCGGGAAGAGCTGGGCCGTGGCGGCCGCCGCCGCTTGGTCTACGATGTGGTTTTCCACCCGGCGGCCCTCCGCCTGGCCGCCCGCAGCTCCCGCTTCCGCCGCCTGCTCAGCGACACGGCGCTGGATGCGGTGGAGCGCCATTGCGGCGTCCAGCTCGACCGCGCCAACGCCACCGTCCTCCGCGGCACCAAGTACAAGGGCGTCCCGCAGGCCCCCGTTATCCGCACCCCGCTGCCCGGCGGTCCCCCGCCGCCGCCCGACGACAACGACTCCCCGCTCCCGCCCTTCCCCTTCCCTCCCGCCGCCCCACCGCCGCCGCCACCGCCTCCCGCCGCCGCCGCCTCCTCGGCGGCCCGGCCCGCCGGTCCCACCACCCCGCGCTGGAGCATCCGCCACCGCTCCTACGTGGACCTGCAGGACTATCGGTGCTGCCGCGACTCGGCGCCCAGCCCGGTGCCCCGGGAGCTGGTGGTGACGGTGGAGCTGCCGCTGCTGAGCTCCGCCGCCCAGGCCGCCCTGGAGATCCGCGGCCGGGAGCTGCGCCTGGACTCGCAGCGCCCCGCCTACCGCCTGCGCCTCCGCCTCCCCTACGACGTGGACGAGAACGGCGGGCGGGCCGCCTTCAACAAGGCCCAGCGGCAGCTCCTGGTCACGCTGCCCGTGGTGCCGCCGCCTGCCCCGCAGGAACCGCCGGGCCCGGCCGAGGAGCGGCTGCTGGAGGAGGGGGAGGAGGAGGAGGCCGAGCCCGGCGCGGAGGGGTTGGAC